TCACGATCTTCGCTCGATTATTCTTCCTCTTCTTCTTCTTCTTCTTCTTCTTCTTCTTCTTCTTCTTCTTCTTCTTCTTCTTCTTCTTCTTCTTCTTCGTCTTCCTCTTCCTCTTGCCACGCTTTTCCTTGCCGAATGATGGGGTCCCACACTGTGAGATTGGTGACGTCGATCTCAAGAAAAAGAGCCTGGGACGGATAAACACAGTTATCGCCGTCCAGCTCAGTACACGTGGACCACAGCAGGTGTGGCTCGAGCATTCTGGAAAGCACGCGGGTGCTAGGCTGATTGTCACACCGCAAGAAGATGTCCAGCGGCAGGTCGTCCACTAGCTGCGTCAAAAACACCAGCAATTCGCTCGTAATCAGAGCGAGATTTCCGTCATCCACCTTCCCAAACAGTATCCCCTACAGATCTCCCACCGTCGCCGTTCTCAAAGCTTGCACGATCAGCAGTTCTACTTCGTCGTCTGGAAGTTCTGGCCCTTCTTTGTATGGTGCTGGCTCAGACCAGCGCAATCCTACTTCCAACAAGCAGAAAGCGAGCTCTACGTACGCCTCCCACCAATTGTTCAACTTCTCCTCGTTCAGTATCGGCACACTGATCTGCTTGATACGATAAGAGAGATATGGGGCGTGAGCAGATTGCCAGAGGGTGAGGATGTAAGAGGGGAGGCCAAAGAGAGAAAGGAGGCGGCGACTCATTGGGGCGGCACAAAGGGACGAAGCTCCGGCAACACCATCGGTGGCTAATCGCTGGAAGAGCGAAGAGGCAGATCGATGTCGTGCGAGGGCACGACTGTATCCCCGCGTTGAGCGAGGAGTGCTGTCCACACAGTCTGAATCGCTTCACCCCACGCGCACAAAGTCCGGAAGATGTGGGATGGATCGCCGATGGCACTGCTGTAATATCTCTAATGAAGACGACGATGACCGTGATGTGACTGATGCCAGAAGGGGACAGGCGCTGAAAAACCGAAATCTCGGGCAGGACACGTGTCGCTACCACTTGTGAAAATCGGAATTCCGCCGCCACGTGGATCGCCGTCGTGCTGAAGAAAGTTGCGAACTGAAGAAGATCGGTACTGAGGTGTGGCCGTTGTACTTGCCGGATGGTACTGATGCGCCCTCTCGGGGTTAGTAGCTGCGCACTGATCACCTGCTCCGCTGAAAAGCTCATGGCGATGGATGCGGGGACGGGGTGACAGAGGGAGAGATGGACGGGGAAGGAGAGTCTAGGACGTCGCCGTCTTCCTCGGTGTCGTAAGAGGAGGCGGGCGATAGAGAGGATGGGAGAGGACGTAGATAAGACACGTGGCGGACAATCGGTCGAGCCGATCGGCTTCCCGAGACATCCGACACGAGACGCACGGTGTTCACCCCGTTCAGGCCGAGCTCGATCACACGAAATCGCSCGAAGAATCGTGGCGCTATCTTCCCTTGGCGAGCACATTTCCTCACCTGCACCAGGTCCCCTAATTTATACTGGGGCCGTGGTCCTGAATTCCCATTCCGGGCCTCGTAACTGCAGACCTGCCGGCCGTGGGCCAACTTAGTCATTTTCTGGCGCTTCTGGGCTAATCGGGGAAGGGACCGCTCCATCAACTCCATGTGTCGCTTGGCCTTGTCCCGAACCGTGGCCCTCGTGGGCCGCCGGTTCAACGAAGTTTCATCGGGGAGGCTCGGTATTGAGACACAAGCTACGCTATTGGTTCGTAGTTGAAAGGGGCTGAGGCCCGTCAATTCGTGGGGCGTTCCCCGATGGACCGCTAGGATGTGATCTACAATATCGGGCCAGGGCCTCGGATTCCGTGCCTCGATGTTTCGTTGCAGCGCTGTCTTTATCCCCTTATTTGCATTTTCTACGAGCCCGTTAGATTGTGACATGTGAGGCGCAGTATTCCAAATGGCGACGCTATGTATGACCAGGTTCCTCAAAACCTCTCCCCTGAATTCCGCCCCATTATCGGTCAGGATCTCCTCCGTGTCCTAATGCATTCCAAGAAAACGGTTGACGTATCGCGCGATTCCGGCCGCCTACCGCGTACGACATGGGTAGGTCTCAATCCACTTGGAAAAATGATCTACAAAAAATAACAGGATTGAATACTCACAGCTATTTGGTCAAGGGGGCACCACAATATCGGTAGTATCCATACTAACCCTTTGGAAATGTCGTTCAACTACCGTAGGTACTATCGATCTTGGTGGCTGAATCGACGCCTTGTCAGCGGCATAGACCTGACAGTTCTGGAGGATGAATTTCACCTCGTCTTGAATATTGGACCAATACCACTCGTTTTTGTCGATTGCCGCCACCATGATCCGGACGGCAAAACGGGCTGCAGTTTCCTCATGCACCGTCTTAACCTATTCATACCTCATGAACGGGTGCGGCACTACCATCCAAATCCCACTACCATCCGTCTTCCGTTTCTCTAACCGACCCTCTTTCCAGCAATAGTCCCGAGCCCTTTCGTTGGCCGTCCTCCGGTTCTCCTTAGTGAAGTCCTGGAGGGGGTTATCTACTAAGGTGGCGATTAAAGCAATATCCGTCCATACCTCGGCCCTTCTAAACATCCGGGTCTTTTCTAACCCTTCGGACGTGGCGTTGGTCGGGATCTTATCGACGCGACACAAGGGGCACAACCAAGGCTTATTGTCATTTCTGTATTGCATGCACGAGCCGTGGGCTCGTGCAACATATTGCCGACAATCTACCCATTCCGCATATCCTTCCCCAGTAGGATCCATAGGGACAGAGTAGACGCGTGAAATCGCTTCGCAAAAATAACAAAATTTGTCAGGAAGAAAGAGAAGACATGAAGACGAGAGGGGAGAGAGAGGAGTTGCAAGGTCACCTCCGTCAGCCATTGCCACGTGCATGCTTCTTGCCACGTGGGAGAACTGTCACTTGTCCATACTTGGGCCCGTTTGCTGATTCSGGTTCCTTCCAGGGGATGATTTCTTCGCCTTTAGGTACCTTAGCTGGTCGGTACAGACGTGTCAGTCTGTCCGCGTTGCCGTGCCTCTCTGTCTTTCGATGGATGATGTCGAAATCGTACTCTTGTAGGTGCACCGCCCATCGCCCAATCATACCCGTGCAATTAGTGAGCCTCTTCAGTGCTAGCAGCGGCTCATGATCAGTCACCAAAAGAAACTTCTGTCCGTAAAGATACGGATGGAAGTACTGGATTTCCCAGACCACAGCGTAACGTTCGCCTTGCGGGGCCGAATCATTCCTTCGGTCATCTGGCACCGTGCGTGATGCATATTCGATGACGTGTTCACGGCCATCACTCCCCTTTTGCGCTAAAATGGCGGAAATGACCTCCGACTGCCAGTCCGTGATGAGAATGAACTACTTTGTAGGGTCCGGTTGGATCAAAACGAGTGTTGTAGCCAGGGCATCCTTGAGGGTGGCGAAGGCCTGCTCGCACTCGGCGTCCCAAATGAGGGGCTGGTCCTTTCACAGCAGGTTCGTCAGGGGCCTTGCTATCGCGGCATAGCCCTTGATGAAACGCCGATAGTACGACGCCATTCCCAAGAAGGCTCGAACCTGCGTCAACGATGTAGGAACGGGGGCATCTTTCACCACCGCGACCGTTCTCGAATCCGGCCGCAGTCCTCCTCGTGTCACCACGTACCCAGGAACGAGATCTCTGAGAGGAAGAACTCACTTTTTTCGAGCGCGATCTTGAACCCTGCGTCTCTCAGAGCTCCCAGCGTCCACTCGATGTGCTGTGCGTGCCCGTGATAATTCTCCGAGAAGACTAGAATGTCGTCCATGTATACGATGATGCAGAAGTTAATCATCCCCTGAGTCAGCCACGTCTTGTTGACGAAATTATGAAACGTTACATTCATAGCCCGCTGAAACGTGGCAGGCGCGTTGCAAATCCCCATCGGACACCGAACCCACTGCCACGTGCCCTCAAATAACACGAAGGCCGTTTTTGGTCGATCCTCCTCCTCAACTAGAATATGATGAAAACCATGGCGAATGTTGAATTTACTGAAATAATTAGCACACCCAATCGCATCCAACAAATCATTAATCCGGGGAAGGGGATACACATCTTTGATCGTGATATCATTCAGTTTGCGATAATCAATGCATATGAGAATCGACCCATTCTTCTTTAGCACTAGTACTACTGGGAATGACCATGGCTCAGTAGCAGGTTCGATCCATCCATTGGCTTAGAACTCCCTGATCCGTTGAAGAGTCGTCTTTCGTTCTACCTGGGAGTATCTGTAGGGCTTACAGTGGATCGAGGGATGGTTCCTGGTCTGAATTCCGTGTTGTATAACTATCGACAGACCAATGTCTATGTCTGCCATGCTAATCGCACCCTGGTATTCTTTCAGAATCTCCGCGATGAGGTGATGAATTTCATCGGGTACGTATTCGGGCACGTGTAGATCGTACAACTGGTCCCATATTCGTACGTTGATCTGTTTCGTGCTTGCCCGTTTGGTGGGTTCAGGCGGGGGTGCGGAAATAAAAGAATTGTCCGATCGCCAGAAAAATACTGTAGCCATCATTTGCGCATCCTGTTCCCGAATGGCCACGTGTTCTTCCGGCGTTACTCCGTCGCGAATATCCTGCCATGGCACGGGCTTCGTGGCGAGTCTGATTCCGAGTCCAGTTTCGAGGCGCTCAGGGGGTTCCAAAGAATTGGCCTCCGCCCCTAAGCGTAATAATCATATCTCTTTTGCAGGTGGAAAAAGAGATCGTGGGAGATCTATGATGTCGCAGATTTTGAAGTGTCTTTTGTCATTATATCGTGCGAGGAGAGGGGAGATACCTTCGTACAAGGTTCGAGGGGGTTCCAAAGAATCAGCCATCCTCGATATCTGTATGAGAGGTTCGCCCAGAATCATCGCTTGTGTCCTTTGTAGATTTCGATCAGTGAGGCTCAATGGTCTTGCGTTTGCTCGTTGCATAGGGTAACAGACACGCTGTCACGCCAGTTCCAAAATTACTGGATCGTCCTCGTTACTGCTGTCCGCATCCTTCGATGATTGCTCACCATCCACGGAATTGTCCCAGATGATCACGCRAAGAGTTCCCGCCATTATTGGAGAAACTTGCGGGGTTACATTAGCGGTGGTACGAAGGGTCAACCTCATAGGTACAACATAGGGGTTTCCTCCTGTATTTCGGAGGACAATCGATCGCCTCTCGAAGTCTAGATTGGCCCGCAAGGCCACAAAAGCGGGAAGGTAAAAAATGACATCATAAGTGTTCACATCTAAGACTACGACTTCCCCAATCGAAAGGCAACATTGGACATCCGCCTTACCGTTTGAATCTTCTGTTCATCTAC